TAAGTAGGTTCACCAGTTCTCTTTTTCCCTCGAGGCCTCATTCAGCCTCCCCACCTCCCAATGTGGGTTCTAAACTTCAAATGTACCAGCAGGGCTGCCATCAGAAATGTTGGGGCCCCTGACACAGCTCAAGGTCTGGGCCCCCCGGTGCCTGCACCCGAGTCCGCCCAAAGTGCTGCCCCCCCCCGATTTCGCCCACAGGGATGCAGTGTCTACAGGGCCGGTGCAAGGATTTTTGCCGCCCTAGGCAAAAGTAAAGTTTGCCGCCCCCCCATGTGACATCACAATGCCCCACCCATGTGATCTGCCATGTTAACTAACACCAGTGCTGCAGTGCCGCCGTGTTTACATTAAAAGGCCTGCAGGGACAGGCTAGACACCAGAACCACTACATTAAGCTGCAGTGGTTCTGGGGACTATAGTGTCCCTTTAATGTGAGGTAAATTAGAGATTAGTGCCACGAATAATATACTAGATTGCCTACTTACAACCAGATGAGGATGATGATGGGCTCTAGCTGCCGTCTGGCTCCACTGGTCTGGTGTACAACAGGCTCTCTGGAGGCGGTTTGTAACTGGTCACAAAAATCACTGTTCTGGGAGAACGGGAAGCAGCTCCATTTTTTTGAGGGCCCTTTACACAGCTCAATGTCTGGGTCCCAGGGTCCACCTTCATGTTCCACCAATGAGTTTGTTCACAGGGAGTGGAGTGTGTGTGGGGGGGGATGTCCTGATGTGTGTAAGGAATGCATTGTGTGAATCTGTGTAAGGGCTGCAAGATGAGTTTGTGTATGTATGGGATGCAGTGTGTGCGTCTGTAAGGGATGCATTGAGTGTTTGTAAGGGGTGCATTGTGTGTTGCTGTGTGTAAGGGATGCATTGCTTGTGTACGTGTATCTGTGTGTAATGCATTGTGTGCTTTTCTGTGTGCAAGGGGTGCATTGTGTGTGATGGATGTCAATCTCTCCCCCTCCCCCCCGTCAATTTCCTTCTCCCCCCTCTCCCTCCAATTTCCTTCTTCTCCCCCTCCCTCTCCAATTTCCTTCTTCCCCCCTCCAATTTCCTTCTTCTCCTCCTCCCTCTCATTTCCTTCCTCTCCCCGTCTCTCAAATTTCCTTCCTCTCCCCCCGTCCCTCGAATTTCCTTCCTCTCCCTCGTCCTCAAATTTCCTTCCTCTCTCCCTCCCTCAAATTTCCTTCCTCTCTCCCTGCCTCAAATTTCCTTCCTCTCTCCCTGCCTCAAATTTCCTTCCTCTCCTCCCTCAAATTCCATTCCTCTCCCCCCTCAAATTTCATTCCTCCACCCCTCCCTCAAATTTCATTTCTTTCCCCCCCCATTTCCTTCCTTCCTCCCCCTCTCCTCAAATTTCATTCCTTCCCCCCCTCCCATTTCATTTCCTTCTCCTTCCCCTCCCATTCATTCCTTCCCCTTACCCCCTCCCATTCATTCCTTCCCCCATTCATTCTTTCCCTAAATTTCTCCCCCATTTCATTCTTTCTCCTTCCCCCCTCCATTTCGTTCCTTCCCCATTTCATTCCTTCCCTTCCCCATTTCATTCTTTCTCCTTCCCCCTCCCATTAATTCCTTCCCCCTCCCATTTCATTCCTTCCCTCCATTTCATTTCCTTCCTTCCCCCCTCCCATTTCATTCCTTCTCCTTCCCCCTCCATTTCATTCCTTCTCCTCCCATTTCTTCCCCATTCATTCCTTCTCCTTCCCCCCCCCCTCCCATTTCATTCCTAACCCCCACTCCCTCGAATTTCATTCCTCCTACCCCCCCTGACACTGGCGGCGGGCGCGCAGGCCGGCGCGCGAGGGAGCACTCTCTGTATGCTTCCTCTTCAGCTCCCTCGCGCGCCGCGTACTGATGCCGGAGCCGGAAGATGACGTCATCTTCCGGCTCCGGCATCAGTACGGTGCGCGAGGGAGCTGAAGAGGAAGCAGACAGAGAGTGCTCCCTCGCGCGCCGGCCCGTCGGGTGTCAGCAGGGCCAGCCTTGGGGGGGCCCTGACGTGGCCGCCTCCTGGGCCCCCCAGGAGAAGAGGCTGGCCCTGTGGGTACATACCGGGTCGCAGGACCCCCTGCGACCCGGTATGTACCCACTGAATGTGGGGCCCGGACGACCTGAGCAGTCCGGGCCCCCCAGGACCGCCGGGCCCATGACAACCGTTACGGTTGTCATGCCCTGATGGCGGCCCTGCCTGGCCATGCTAAATGTAGAATTGCATCGTCTTGTATTGAAACAAATTTAGAGATATCTGCAACTACACAAAAACCTGAAAATGACTGCTCCACATTTAAACCGAGCGATTCTTAGGCACATATTACAAATAATTTTGCAAGTTATAGAAATCAAAAGTTAAACCGTGTATTTCTTTTTTGAAGTACAATACATGGACAGTTTGTCCTGTTATTAACATGAACTTTCCCATTGCGTTTGAAAGCACACTGAATATTTAACAATGTGTACACATAGAACGTAGAGACACAGCACAGAGGGAACACAAGCTGCTTACAGTGACAGACTGGCACCAGGTAAAACAACCAGTTGTGGTGTGGATTAGCATAATACAAATACACACTGTCACTAGCAATACGGATTAATCGCTGCAGGCTTCCAAAGTCAAAGAAAGAATTTGTATCTATAATCTATGGATTGTGTATTTACTTGAAAGTTATTTATGGGAGGAGATTACATTTTGTTAGATTGTGTGTTTGAATGTTTTAATATATCTGTGTTAAAAATGTTGTAAAAAGTCCTGATTGTCCAATTGTTATTACTTTAACATGTTTTCTAAAAGATGAAACAAAATTTTGTCCCCTAAAATTGGAATATTCAAACATATTTAAAGGGACCCAATAGGCACTGAGACCACCTCATCTCGATGCATTGGTCTGGGTACCATGTTGCCTGCTAGTGAGGGAGCTTGTGTGTGTCTCTGCTAGTGATGGAGCTTGTGTGTGTGTGTGTGTGTGTGTGTGTGTCTGTGTGTGTGTGTGTATGTGCCTGGTAGTGAGTGAGCTTGTGTCTGTGTGTGCATGCCTTCTAGTGAGTGATCTTGTATGTGTGTGTCAGTGAGCTTGTTTGTTGGAAGCATGTGAGTGTCAGTGAGCTTTTCTGTAGGGAGCATGTGTGTATCAGTGAGCTTGTCTCTGTTGAGCATGTGTGTGGTGAGCATGTGTGAGTCAGTGAGCTTGTTTGTGGTGAGCATGTGTGAGTCAGTGAGCTTGTCTGTAAGGAGCATGTGTGTTCGTGATATTGTCTGTAGTGAACGTGTGTGTCAGTGTGCTTGTGTGTAGTGAGCATGTGTGTTAGTGGGCTTGTCTGTAGTGAGTTTGTGTGCATCACTGAGCTTGTCTGTAAGAAACATAGGTACATCAGTGAGTTTGTCTGTGGTGAGTATGTGTATGATAGTGAGCTTGTCTGTAGTGAGCGTGTGTGTGTGTGTGCCAGTTAGCTTGTCTGCATTGAGCGTGTGTGTCAGTGAGCTTTTCTGTAGGGAGCATGTGTTTGAGCTTGTGTGTGTCAGTGAGCTTGCCTGTAGTAAATGTGTGTGTCAGAGTTTGTCTGTACTACGTTTGTGTGTATATACCAATAAGCTTGTCCGCGTGTCAGTGAGATTATCCATCAGTGAGCCTATTTGTGTGCATCCGTGAGCTTGTGTTTTTAAGTCAATGAGCTTATGTATATAAGTAAGATTGATATATATATATATATATATATATATATATATATAAACCAAATATTATTCAAGGATGCACTCACAGGTCTTCAAGTGAAAAAAATATGATTTAATGTAATATAATTACATCCCGTGACGGGTCTTTTTCAATTTTTCAAGATCCTATATATTAACCAATAATATGTAAGGCTATGTCTTGCCACCCCAGATAATTGAGTAATATATAAACACATTAAAAAAATTTTTTTAAAAAAAATATATGTGTGTTTATATATTATTTAATAGTATATATTATTAATAGTAATTTATATTAGTCAGTCATCTAGGTGGCAAGACATTTTTTTTCCAGGGCTGCTTTGTATCCCCAGTCCGGCCCTGTTTACGATGTATAGGGTTCAGCTGTGTAAAGCACTTATTTTAAATGAGACACTGAACGCCTCCAAATGATAATACAGATTTGGTCAGATCAACCTTACTCCAATTGGAATTGGCATTAGAAAATATGAAAATTCCATTCAGGTCAGAATATGTCAATTTCACAAAATTTTGACAAATTTCAACTTATTTCCATATCTGTTTAAAAAAAAAAATGTTTTTAAGAAAAACAAAGTTAAAAAAAATATATGTTTTAGAAAACATATCCTGACTTGTAGTTACGAGCTCATACTCACGGAGCCCTCATTCATTAACAGTGACCTGTTCTCAGTGTTTTGTTATGATGGCCTTAATTATTTACATACATTTGGTTTGGTTGTTCCCTGGTATCATGAGTTTAAACAAATGAATCAGGAAATGTCTACCAATTTGTTTATAATTTAGAAAATACAGTTCCATGCTAAATGAATTTAACTACATATTTATCAAATTATAGATGCTATTTAGATAGGTCTGCAAACCTTTCTATTGGTTATATTTACACTGTACAGTATATTTTGGTTGAAATCTCTTACTTGCTTGAAAAGTGGCATGGATTTATAAAGTTTGAAAACATTCTCCAATTTAAAAACCAAGCACAATGATGATGTGTTTTGTATGAAAAGATGGACACATCATTATATATATATATATATATATATATATATATATATATATATATATATATATATCACACTCATGGGATAAAGAAAGTACACAATCTTTGAATTCTATGGTTTTACATAAGAGGACATAATTTCCTGTTGCTTAGCAGGTCTTAAAATTAGGCAAATAAAACCTCAGATGAACAACAACACACTACATATTATATTGCACAAGGCAATGATTTATTTAACAAAAATAAAGCCAAAATGGAGAAACCATACACCAATACTGCTTCCATATGAATTAAGATGCTAAGTAGCAGACAGGTGCTGCTAATCAACTTTCAACCTTGATTAATTTATCATCAGCAAATGTGACCACCTCTATAAAAGCCAAAGTTTTCGCAGATTGCAGTCCAGGAGCATTCAGGTGTGTGTTAATACATCCATAATGATCTTAAAGAAGCAATTGTTGCTGCCTATGAATATGGAAAGAGTTACAAGGCCATTTCCAAACAATTTAAAATTCATCATTGTACAGTGAGAACGATTATACAAAAGAGGAAAACATTCAAGACAGTTTCCAATCTTCCCAGGAGTGGACATCCCAGAAAATTCACCCCAAGGTTAGACCATGCAATGCTCAAAGAAATTTTAAAAAATAAAACAAGAGTTACATCTCATACGCTACAGGCCAGAGTTAGAATATTAAATGTCAACGTTCCTAACAGTACAATTAGAAAAAGACTGATCAAGTATGGTTTGTTTGGATTGGTTGCCATTAGAAAGGCTCTTCTCTTTAAAAATAACATGACAGCACAGCTTAGGTTTGCAAAGTTGCATCTGAACAATTCTGAAGACTTCTAGAACAATGTAATTTGGACAGACAAGACTAAAGTGGAGATGTTTGGCCACAATACACAGTGCCAGGTTTGGCAAAAACCAAACAAGGCATATCAGCACAAACAACTCATACCAACTGTCAAGCACAGTTTTGGAGGGGTGATGATTTGGGCTTGTTTAGCAGCCATGGGACGCCTCTGTCCATAGGAAAGCATTACTCGTGGTTTGAATGCCGCGCATGCGAATTTGGATCTAATGTCGGCAGTGGAGGAGAGGTCACCAGCGCCTAGGGAGCCCGGCGCTGTAGAAAGGTAAGTGGCTCAACTCACACTAGTCTTGGGCAGTAGTAATGATTCTAGTAAATATCAGCAGGGCCGACGTGTCCTATAGGCGACTTAGGCAGTCACCTAGGGTGCACTGGCCGAGGGGCTGCAAGTTTCGATTGACCAGGCAGGAGGGAAGCACACAGCGCTCCCTCCTGCCAGTCACTCAGTGAAGCGTGGCCGGGAGGCGCTGACCATGTTACAGGAGCTTCCTGTACCCAGCCGGACTGAAAGGAAGTGCTCTCTCAGTGAGCACTTCCTGTACAGCGGTCTGCGACGCCCGGCCACACTACACAGAGGTAGGAGGCACAACAGGGAAGGGGTGGGAGATGGCATTATAGGACACTGGGGGGAGGGAAAGGAGGAGAAATCACTAAGGGACATGGGGGGAGGGAGATGAGGAGAATCCCCTAAGGACACACCGAGAGTCCACTAAGGACACCCGTGTGGGTGGGAGACCACTAAGATACACTGGGGAGGCAGAGGGAGGAGAGACCACTAAAAAGGGACACCGGGGGAGGAGAGACCACTAAGAAACACTGTGGGGAGGAGCGACCACTAAGGGGGGAGGAGAGACTACTAAGGGAAAGATGGAGGAGGAGGGAGAATTCTAAGGGACAGTGGGTAGGGAGAGCACTATGGGACACTAAGGGGGGGAGAGACCACTAAGGGACACTAAGGGGAAAGAAGAGACCACTATGGGACACTAAGGGGGAGGGGGAGAGACCACTAAGAGAAAGATGGGGAGGAGTGATCACTAAGGGACACGGGGGGTGGGGGGGAAAACCACTAAGGGGAAGATGGGGTAGGAGGGAGAAATCTAAGGGACAGGGGGAGGGAGGGCACTATGGGAAGGGTGGCAGGGGAGAGCACTAAGACAGGGGGTAGGAGAGAGCAGATCACTAAGGGACAGGTGGGGATGGGAGATCACGAAGGGATAGGAGAGCACTAAGGAGCAGGAGGGAAGGAGAGAGCACTAAGGGAGAGG